GTTTTAATTTGGATTTCCCCCATAATTAGAGATGTTGAGCATTTTTTTCCATATGATTTGTTAGCCATTCATCTATCTTCTTTTGAAAAGTTTCTGTTCCTGTCCTAAAAGGCAAATTCTTGAACCTCACCCCAGACTTACTTAATCAGAAGTTCTGGAAGTAAAAAAAAAAGACAGTCACTGAGTGGAGAAAGGGCAACATGAAAACTACATAGCATCTAGGAATTCAGAGAAAGGTAAGAAAGATGGATCTGGCCTCCCCCAAAATCCTCCTAGTGCTGTCCAGGTCTGCACCTGGGTAAAGGTTAACCCTACAAAATATCTTTCTTTAGAATTCTGAAGCTAGCCCTGTTTAGAGAAGTTAGAGAGATTACAGAGATTAGAAATTATAGTCTCTAATCTTATAATATTTTGAAGCATTTTGCCTCTACTGCTAAGTGTAGACATTTGAGGTTGTGTCATATTGAAAATTTATATTATTTTTACGAATACTTCCAAAGATGGCCCACATTTGAGTTATATTCTGAATTTTTATATCCAAGACATTTTAGAATATTTTCTTGTTTTCTTATATGAATGCACATTACATAGACATCAGCTCTTATACCCACAATGATAGATACCCCCATGATCCCCCCCCACTTTTCTGCCTGAAATACTCCTTTACAAACAAGCACTTTGTAGGTGTGCATAAAACAGAAACGTATTAGGTTGGTGCAAAAGTAACTGGTTTTAGCCTTGTTGAAATTTGCCATTTTATACTGGAATACATTCTCAAATAAATGTAGTTATGTTATACATCATTTTAATGCACATTTCTTATTTTATTTTTTTTGCTAATGACTTATTACTTGCTGTTTATTTTATATTCATTTTATACTATGGAAATGATGTTAGACAAAAAGCAAATTTGAGCGATTTTCTTAGTCAAGTTCAAAATGGGTTATAAAGCAACAGAGACAACTCGCAACATCAACAATGCATTTGGCCCAGGAGCTGCTAATGAAGATACAGTGCAGTGGTGGTTCCAGAAATTTTGCAAAGGAGATGAGAGGCTTGAAGATGGGAAGTGCAGTGGCTGGCCATTGGAAGTTGACAACAACCAATTCAAAGCAATCATCAAAGGTGATCCTCTCACAACTTACACAAGAAGTTGCTGAAGAACTCAACATCAATCATTCTATGGTAGTTCAGTATTTGAAGCAAATCGCAAAGGTGAAAAAGCTAGATAAGTGGGTGCCTCATGAGTTGACCGAAAGTCAAAAAATCATCGTTTTGAAGTGTTGTCTACTCTTCTTGTACGCACCAACAATGAACCTTTTCTCTATTGGACTGTGACGTGCGACAAAAAGTGGATTTATATGACAACCAGAGATGACCAGCTCAGTGGTTGGACTGAGAAGAAGCTCCAAAGCACTTCCCAAAGCCAAACTGGCATCAACAAAAGTCATGGTCACCATTTGGTGGTCTGCTCCTGATCTGATCCACTACAGCTTTCTGAATCCCAGTGAAACCATTACATCTGAGAAGCATGGTCAGCAAATCAATGAGATTCACCAAAAACTTCAACATCTGAAACTGGCATTGGTCAACATAAAGGGCCCAATTCTCCACAACACCTGACTGCACATCACACAACCAACACTTCAAAAGTTTAATGAATTAAGCTACTAAGTTTTGCCTCATCCACCATATTCACCTGTACTCTAGCCAACTAACTACCACTTTTTCAAGCATCTCAACAACTTTTTGCAGGGAAAATGCTTCCACAACCCACAGGATGCAGAAAATGCTTTCCAAGAGTTCATCAAATCCTGAAGCATAGATTTTTATGCTACAGGAATAAACAAACTTATTTCTCATTGGCAACAATATATTGATTGCAATGGTTCCTATTTTAATTAATAAAAATGTGTTTTAACCTAGTTATAATAATTTAAAATTCATGGGTAGAAAACCACAATTACTTTTACACCAACTTTATAATAAATTTCACTCCTTCCATTACCTGTGAGACACCAAGTGCTTTGGGACACTATATAGTTGATTCTTTTAATCATTTGCATCAAGATGGTTTTGTTTAGTGCCATCTATGTGAATTTCAGTTTTCTTAGTAGCACTAAATTTTCAGTAACATATTTGTAAAACAGAAAGGATTTTTAAGAAGAAACCCCCCAAAACTTTGTAATTTTAAATTTTGAGGTGGGAGTATGTGAGAAATTCAAATGGTAACCTATTTGTTTAGTATAGTGAAGAGCTCAACCTTCAATACAGGGGATTATATTTATATCCTACTTCTCTTATTTTCTAAGATGACGAAAGTGTTTTATGGAACTGATACTCTGAAGAGTTCTTTGTTATTTTAGTAGTCTAGTATGGAACATAATATTTCAATACACTTTTTTCTTTAGATGTGGTTAGTTTTTGAATAACTTCACTATTCTTGCCAAGAGTCTGTTGCATGGGACCAAATATGTAGGAGAAGATGCTTTCTTTTACTTTGAAACTCACATATGTTTTCTACTTGTTTTAAAGATGAATCTAGTAGCATTGCCTTGGCTTGCCTTATCTCATTAGTTTAATATGCATGTGCTTAATATATAGTTATCATAAATGGTTAAAAATGGAAATCCACTTTATCCTTCTACAGTGGGAATATTAGGTGAGATTGGAGGTAGAAAGGTACTTTCTTACAAACAACAGATATGTCCAATATATTGTCAAGACCCTGAGGTTTGTGCTTAAAACAAAGAGATGCTGTAATGAAAAACAGGCATGAAAAGCTCTCATTCTCCACAGTTTAAGATTCTGACCAAGATATTGAATATAAACAGATATACTCTAGTAGAGATAGCCCACTTTAAAAAATTCAATCAAAAAACATTTAGGATTAATGTTTCATAAATTATCTTTGCCTATGAAGTAGTAGTTCTCAACCTTTACCTCCCATCCCAATATATCAGAAGAACGTGATTCATTCCTAACAGTAACACTGGCTTATTAGAGCAATTATTAGAGGGTTAGGGGGAGCAGGTAGTGTTATGTACTTCCAAGGAGAGGGACAGATTAGAATCCAAGAGAGATTGTATAGTTAAGTCCCCCATGTCATATGCTCCTCATCCTGACAATAATTTTTATAAAGCAATGCAAATCTGCTTCCATCATTTGATGACACAGATGTTATTGAGCTCTACCTCTGAGAAGGATACCAGTGACATAGGTGTTTGAGCAGACCTAACGATTTCATATCCATGGCTTTTATGAATATTTTTAGGAAATCATCAGATGGGAGTTTATCACTTTCTCTAGATTTACATTATCTATAGACTGATTGCCCAAAATATTTAAAATGAATAAAATAATATGTGTGCCATATGTATAGCTCTATGCTTTCCTTAGCACTGTCAATAAAACTCCTAAAAGTGAACTAATTAAAGATTTCAAAAGACATTGATGATTTGGTTATTAGATTATTTTACTAAATAAAAATTTTATCTTGAAATTAGAATGATCTTTTAACTGTCTCTATGCCTCTATAATCTCTCTCCACTTCAATTCATCCTCCTGGAATAATTTTTCTCCAATATTGCTTTCATTAGATGTTCCTCAGTTGTCTGTACCAACTTCTGCTATCTATTAGATCAAGTCCAATCTCTTCATCTTGATGATTAAAGACAATTTGGCTGTGCCATAACAACATTATTTTACCAGACATGATGTTTTCTTATGAGTTCCTCTGTTATCAGTTCTGCCAACTCCCTGTTCCATGCCCACAGTGCAGATCAATCCTTCTTGTGCCTTTGCTAAGACTGTGTGTTGTCCTTCTGTGGAAAGACAAAAGCTCTCTGCCTAGTCAGGTCTTACCCAGAGGCCTGTAGACCATAGCATATGGGCATTACAAAGCTTCTTAGAATTTATTTCTGCACCCTCATTGTACTGAGACCCAGAGAAGTAAATTGACTTGCTCAAAGTCCTGCATTTAATATGTTTTAGAATCCAGAGTCTGTGTTTCCTGACATCCAGTCTAGTGCTTTTTCACTGCACTTTATTTTCTTAAAACTCACGCTAAATCTCATCTCTTTACCCAGCATAAACTGATTGCTTCTGTGAATTCTTATTGTATTTATAATTACTATATCATATTGTACTTATAAATAACATAGAATTTGGGATTTGTGTGAAACTAACATGTTTTGAAGTTTTGAGGGATCAAAATTATTTGTAGATGTTTGAGACTTCACTGGTGAGGTAAGTCTTAAGCGAAAGTATCAAAAAGAACATGGTGCTTGTACACAAACAAGGCAAGGCAGGGAAAATGTGAGGACTATCACCTAGCTGGAGAAGAGGGTTAAATTTATGTAATAAAATAAAAAATAAGGGATACAGACAGAGTGGTGATAAATTGTGGAGATCTTATAAAAAGTTTTGGCAGGTCAGCATTGCTCAATTGCCTGTGTGTTTTGTAGTCCTCAAAGTGTATCTGGTTATTATTAATCACAGAGATGCTTAATCTTTAAAGTACACCTGGAAGCCTAGCCCCTGTTTCTAACAGAGAAAGAAAGAAATGCAGTTTTCTTTTAGTTATTTCACTTCATATTTTTTCAGTCTCTTGTTGTGTACTATTAAAACTCTATGCAATTTATTGAGTTTCTTTCTGGTATCTCCAGAGATAGCATCATTGCATCCAATTCTTTCAACTCTAAAACTTCTTGGTAAAGGACAGATGTTATCAGTTCTCCTAGGTTAGCAAGGTTGAATCGTATAAATAGCAAGATAAGTGAACACTGCACAATACTGACGAGTCTCAATTATTTTAATTTTGAGTACTACACTCATAAAACAATACCAATAATAAACAACATTAACAATAAAGGGGTGATTTATTATGGGTGATATTAAATTTAGAGTGGCCATCACAATATTAAAAGCATCTGTCATAAAATTTGTGAAAAGTTGAGACCATCTTCTGGAAACAGAGACATAAAAGATGGAAAGAATTTCTGATTGAAATATCTGATTGCACTTTGAATCACTAATATAAAATAACTTTTAAATGATTACCAGAAAGGATCACAGTGTGTACTTTTCCTAATTCCAGAGTCTTCCAGAAACAATTAATATGGTAGTTTGAAGCAACATTGATGGCCCTATTAGACAATACAGGCATAGCCATGTAAAGGGAAGGGGACGTGTAAATCAACATATAATAAACATTGCTCAGGGATCTCTGCAATTTTTCGAAGTTATTTTCTTATATCCTCAAACTTTCTTGGTTGTGTCTTTGTCTTTTCCATCTCAAGTTATTCTTTTCATTAATCAAGGGCCAAGGTTTTGTCTTCTACCTGTCTGGAAGTTGAGCTGCAACAACAGGATAAAAAGAAACTAAGGGGTTAAAAGTGGTAATAAAAGAAAAATATATTTTGATTTTTAGAGTACTTTAAATAGATTATTTAGTAGAAAATATTGGATATCATGATCTTGAAAGCTTCAAACCATTGCCTAAGAAACTACCATGATCATCTTACAATCATGTTTTAGAACATGAAGATGGAACCACAGTAAAGCTCATTTAGTAAACTAGATGTCTGTTAATAGTAGGTTACTATAATGTTTACTATATTTTATACCTATAATTACATGTTATTTTCAATATATAAAATTAACTCTAAGTATTTTATAGGCTCTGATTCTTTACCACCTGGTAGCTGAGTGATTGTAAAAAGGTTACCTGACTACACTATGCCTCCGTTTCCGTGTCTGAAAAATAGGTATAATAATGTAATTTCATAGAGTTGTTTGGGTTAAATGAGATAATAAATGTAACATACAAGTGCATGTCAGATAGTAAGTGCTCACTAAATGTTATTAAATGGCTGCCTGAAGATTCACCCTGATTTTTATGCGTATTTATGTATTTTTTATTTCAACATTGATATCGTCCCAATCTTTTGTTATATCACATCATATTCTATTTACAAACTATATTCAAGAGTAGAGTGAAACAGTAAAAGTGATCATACTGAGAATTGATTTTTTCTGAACTTCTGCTTGAAGTTCTTACAATTAGAAATCTTAGTCATGTTTTTCTGGTTCAGAGTCTTATACAACTACCTAGAAATGGTCTTTTCAGGGCCTATAACAAAACATTGCTTGCTTATTATTTATCACTATGTAGTCAACTTGGGTGAACTGTGCTGTTTGGCTGTAACAGTGTTCATTGGTGGTATATCTTTTATGGGATGTCATGTTGTTCCCACTTTACTTTCCATTTCACTAGCCACCTTTTTAATCAGGAAGTACCAAATTGGCAAGTATGAACAAATACAGATTGATTCCAACTTACAAAAAAGTTGTACTCCAGAAATCTGTTTATAATTCAGTTATTTGTAGCAAAAGTTATTTTCTTATTAAAATTACTGTAAAAATTCAGGTGGCTCTGGTCCCCATTATAACCCCAAAGCAGAGGAATTTATTTATCTGTGGGGTGTGTGTGTGCGCATGCATGTACACTCAGGTGTGTGTGTTTCATAGGTTTTCCATAAGAGGCTAAAAAGGAGGTGGTGGGGATAGACTGTAGACTGGGAAGCTAAGATTCCAGAGCACAAAATGAGGTAGGTCGGTTGGCTCAGAACGGCTTGGTTACTTTCTGAATTGAGCAAGAATATTAGAAACATAGAGAGACCTTAGCATAGGAAAGAGAGGAGAGAATAGGGAATAAGTGAGGGTTTGTTAACATAGAGTAATTATGATTTTGGTATTTGCAACTTTGAAAATTCTGAGTCTGCTATCATGTGCGTGCATGCATGTGTGCCTGCCTATGGCAGGTCAGAAAATGCAAAGAATAATGTAGAAAATATTGGACATAGACTAGCCAGAATATATTGAGATTTAATGATATGACAAAAATAATTATTTCTCAATTTCCCTCTTTCACTACACAACATTATTTCCTTTGCCTTCACCTCCAATATACTGCCTTGTTACTATTACACTCTTATCCCCATTCTTCATTTAATTGAGGAACTCTACTACATTGGATCAACAATCTCTAACCAATAAACATTCTACTTAATGAATCCAGGTATTTTTAGAAGGGGATTTGTTGAAATAACTCATGAGAAGCAAAATCTGGACTTTCGTAATATGCTTATTTAATAAATTTATATTTGTTACCTTTGATACCCAATACATCCAAATTCAGACTGAAAAGCTTTGAAAATACAGTCTACTACTTGTCCCTTTAAGTATAGAAAAGGGAATATTCACACAGCTGCCTAAATTTATTTCAAACCTGAAAAACATGATAAATTACACATATCTTGCAGCTGTATGTCATTGCAGAAAACAGTTCTGGGAATTACAGTTCTAGTAAAATCTTCCTTTGCGGAATAAAAAGCCTCCTTAGTTAATTATTTAAGATTTATGATGTTGAGTAACAGTATTAAAATTCTCCTAATTTATTCTTTACCAGTTTTTGAACTTAAGTTGACTTGGTCTGGTTTTCTTTCTCTACCTACCCAAATATAATGCATCATTAATCCTGTTACTATATTTGAGGGGGCTGGGCCAAGGAACCTTAAGCCATTGATATGATTCTGAAATTCCTATAGAGAGAAGGTCACGGGCACTGATTTTGTACAATAGGGACAGGAACAAAAATGGGCTTTACTTTGAGCTTGGGGCATCTGGTTCTCATTTGGATTGCTCAACTAGGCCTTTGCAGGTTTGTTATTAGCTCAGAAAAGTACACATTGATTAGATACAAGAAGTCTGGATTCATTTTGAGACCTTGATCTTTTGTCAGATAAACAATTATTTTCTCCCAAATTATTCCAAGAACAATGGACAGGTCACATTATTAGCAGGAGGAAGTTTTTGGGTTGCTTAATATGTTTTTATTCAATTTGAGATCTCTGACTAATTCATATTAAAAATGATTCCAACTCAGCTTACTCTATCTCAATTGAACACTTTCAGGACCCTGTTATATCTAACAAGGAGACCTTGGGAATTCCAAGTGTGGCCGGGGTGGAGCATGCTAGGGGCTTTTGCAGGGGCCCAAGAATGAGGTCAGGACTTTCCCCCAGGGGGAGGGCAGGGCGAGAACGGGTGGGGTGAGGGGCTGACGATGCAGTGCAGCAGGGGCATCAGTGCTGCATCCGTCGCCCTGCACTGGGCTGGAACTGTGGTCTCCTGGGAACTGAAATTGCTAAAGGAAAATAGCTGGAAACCATGGAAGCACTCTAGTATTACGAAGAAATATGATCGAACTGATATTAGTGACTTTTTGGGAAGGTTTGGTGCACAGACAGCCCTAGTAAAGTAGTTTAACAATTAACAGACCTTGAGAAAGTTGACTGTATCTTTGGATAGGAGATGGTTTTGCGGTATCTTAGAGTGAAAATTCCTAGAAAACATATCTTTTGCTGTAAGAAAACACAGAGTACTCCTTTTTCATAGCAATGAAAAAACTGTTTATATGTAAATATATTTAATTAATACACTATTCTTATGACTTGCATACTAAAAGCCCCGACTTAAGCATTATAGAAGATGTCTATGTGACAAAAACACTTTTACCCCTTTAATGTTTTGAAAAAAAAAAAACACCAAGTAAAAATAAAAATGAAGCTTTTAAAAAAAACCCATATGGCAGGATATTGCTTTATCTGGTGTATGTGGGTATGATATTTACATGACTAAAGGTTGAGCTTTAAGAAGATTTATTTTGATTAATGATAAGCAGAATTATTAAACTAATTCATGTATTCCCATGGCTATATGAGCAGGAATAAAAATGATATACTGGGTAGACTTTAAAATGAAAGTGCAATGACTTTTGACAACTTCAGCCAATCTTTTTGAAGACATATTGCAACTTTAGCTTCTCCTGAACTAAGGGTTATCTGTAGGCTTCCTCAAATATTCAAGGAACTTATAAACGAAAGCACTTTTGCCAGCTAATTTTTAAAAGCAATTATTACAGGTTGTAAATTAACAGAATTTTGGTGCAAAAAGCAGAACATGTTTGATTGGCACATTTAGGCACTTGTTGCTGGGAATGCCTATATAACTGCATATTTATTAAACTATAGTTGTAGTAGACTCTCTATATGAAATTGTCATTCTCCTTGGTGTCATTACTGAATTATCCTTGTTATTTAAAAAATCTGCCATAAATCAGAAATGGCTACTGCTTTGAATGACCCTAATGCAATTCTTCTCAAGTATATTGGAATCTGTGAAGGACTTAAATTAATTAAATCATTAAGTATATTTTATTTATAAATAAAAACCAGTTCCGCAGTTTAAGAAAGGTAGACTATTAATTTTGCCTCTTTAATATGGAATTATATTATTTCTGCAGAATTTGAATAACTTTTGGACAACTTATTAAATGACACTGGGCTCTTAGGAACATAGTTCTAATACCACTATCCACGGAAGTCAATATTAACCTTTACAAAAAGAAAGATATTTTCAGGAGTTAGAACCTAATTTAGTTACTTCTGAAAAGTTTAACACAGAATGTTAACCCACACACATTAATTTCCAACTACTTTAAATACATTGGGGATATGTTATTACCTGAACATCTAAAAGTTTGTAACCATTCTGGAAACTAAGTGAGATGCCATTTCATTTGTCTTCATATAGCTTTTATCCCCCACTGGCCATTCATTTTATATTAAGATAAGTAGACTATGACCTTTGTCGAGGGCAGCAACTATGCTTTTCACTTAGTCTCTATATTTTTTGAGCTTACTACACTGTTTAATTATTAAATGCCTATGGAAGGAATGAATGAAGATGGTGTAAATGGATTGAATATGTATTCTGATGTTGAGTTGGTTGTTTTGGTTCACTTATGGTTGGTAGAAAATTTTGTTTCTTTTAAAGCGAGCATCTCTCACTTCTTAAATTGTTTAAATGGGAAAGTACCCCTGTTCTCTCCATTATGGTCATCTGTGACTGGCATGTGGACATGGTGGTGATAAACCCAGAATATATGGAAATACCAAAGCTCTAAAGGAAGGCAATCATCCATTCTTCCAGAAAATGCTTTGTTAGTGAAGACATGCAAAATACATTTTTCCCAAGCTATTAATAAAGTTATTGTGAAGTTCTACCCATTTCCAATGACAATGATGATAGTGGTTGCAGATATTTCCATTATATAGTCATGGTCAGAAAGTTGTAATATATGTACCCAGGGCATAGTATTTATGTGACTAGATATTCTATTCAGAGTTAATTTCTATTATCATATTTTGGGGGAATCAATACCTTCTACTTGAAAAATTTGATCGTTTTTCAGGTGAAAGTAGTCTACTTTGCAGGTAGTTTTCATCTAAACACAACATAATATTGTATACACAACCAGTTAGAAAATATAGCTCTTAGACATAATGATTTGAAGTACAAAATGATAGCTACATTCCTTAAAACTAATAATCTAAAACTTATTATAATTATATTTTCATTCAACCAGAAATGCCAAAGCCGTAAAATAAAATGTATTTTAAATGCTTTCATACTACTGCAAAGATTCATTTTAAAGAAACATCTGGGGAAAATATCTCCTTTTTCTAATGTTAAGGTTTTTATCTGAGCAATATTATTTTTATTACTTGTTATTGGCCAACATTATCCTTAAGTTTACATAAGAAGAAGCTATAAAAACCACACTAGGTATTTACAACTGTTTCCAGGGAAGTGTGGTCTCTTGGGAACATCACAAAATTATTCTCTATTAAAGTAAAAACATTAAGGGGATACCAATTTTGTACTTTCATTTTGGCTATAAGAATCTGTGCCTCATTCTAAATATACAGTCACATTCAATTATATATTCTAGTGGAAAACAAAGCAATTATTTCAAGTTGCACATTTATGCACACAGACACTACAATCCAAATTAAATATATTTGTTTACCATGACTAATGAAGTATAACAAGGCTAAAATTCAATGCACAAAAACTTAATTATGCCTCAATGACAACACATCAATAAAGTTTCATCAAAAAGAATATTGCTGTTGTCAAAAATAGTTTATCAAATACTTAGCAATTTTAGTTTGTGCATGTAATTCAGAATGCTAGAGAAAACATTTAATAAAAATCATCAAAAATATAATTTTGGTTATTTTGGGGAAAAATAAAATAAAAAGTAAACATTAAGTCAAAAGTTGCAAGGGTTTGGAGTTCTTTGCTCCCTAATATTGTGTCACCAAAGTAACTCAAATTCTATTTAAATAAGAGATTAGAATAGCATGGCTATTTCAGACAGCCTTCTTCATGAGATTTTTGAGAGATGGTTGTTTTTAAATGGCTTTACCTGTGGCACTTAAGGTTCATTTGACTTTATTCTCTCTCTGCTCATAAGGGGAAAGAGTCAACACCAGGCCATGATGGGCAAGAGGAGGCAGGTAAAACATTTCTAGGTTGTCTGTGACTAGGTTTACATTTATCAGCTATTCAACCCTTGATAGAGTAGTAGGCCAGTCAGCCACAGTGCAATCAAGGGAATTTTGCTATTTGCCAGTTATACAGCAGATGAATTTTTCAAATGGAAAACCATATTTCTGGCTTTAAGGATAAAAGAAGAAGTACTACTGGACACTTTATCTCCTCTCTTCCATGGTTTGCATATTCAAGTAAGTAAAAAAAGAATTTTTAGATTCTGTTCAATTATGACCTAACACTCTGAATTATAGGGAATGGAGAAGAAATTTAGAATCTACATTTATATAAACTTACCTTTAAAAAATGATTCACAGCACCTGATGATATGGCAAACTTCACAACATCTGGTGGTTCAGCTTCTACTATAATATCAAAACTAGGGAGCAGGATATTGGGATTGGCATGAAAGTTTAAAGTGGCAGGACCCTTGAAAGCAACGGGATTCTGGACCTTAGAGAAATCTTTAAAAAATCCAGATTCCTTGGCATTAAGGACATTCTTGGACCCACTGGCATGCTTAAAGCTAGCAGAGGCCATGGAGTGAGCAAGGTTTTTGACGTCAGCACCAAATTTGTGGTCATCAAAAATTGTATAATTTCCACCGAGCTTAGAAGGATCAGAAATTTTAGAGGTGGTCAAATTGTCAGGAGTAGAAGTGTAGTTAATTCCAGCAGCAAAAATGGTGGCGTTTACATAAACAATATTAGGAATAGATAAACTGGGATGGAATTCCAATTCAAGCTCAGGGAAATTATTAATATTGTTGGCACTAGTGAAATTATGAGCATTATGAGTATTTATGACATCATAATTGGGGTTGATGACAAAGGTGTAGACAAAGAAATGAGTAAATCTAAGGGCACGGTTAATGTCTGAGGCATAGATGGTAAAAGCAGTATAGCTAGGGCTAATGGTACCATTACAAGTAGTGGTGGTGTTGGTGTCAGTGACATTGACAATGTTATCTGTAAAACTGGGTCTGCCAACATACCTGTTTCTGGCAATATATTTTGGGTTGACTAAAAAGCTAGTACCTACTGAATGGGTAAATCCTGGGACATAGTCAAGGTCTGTGTCATAGTTTGGGGCAGCTACATAGTTGTGGCCAGCAGCACTGATGGGTCCTGTATCATAGTTGGAGTCAGTATCATTGTTAGGACTAATAGCATTGCTGTGAGTAGTAGCATTATTGGGCCTGACATTATATTTAGAGGCAGGGTATTTTGGGGGACCAGTGCCATTGTTGCTGGGACCAAGTCTGTTGGGACTCATTCTAATCTTTTGGGGGCCAGGGCCAATGTTGGGGCAAATGTCATTGCCTGGTATAGTGGCATTTCTAGGGCCAACACAGTTGTTGGAACCAGAAGTATAGTCCAGGCCAGTTCCATTTGGGGGCCCAGAGATGTAATTTGGATTAGTGTCATTGTTGGAGTCAGTAGTACTCTCCTGATCAACACCACTGTCCAGGCCAGAAGCAGTGTCTGAATTGTTGGTGTGTGTGTCCTCTGCAGGACCAGTGCTATACTTGGAGTTAGTGTCATTGTTGGAGGCATTATCAATGTTAGGGTCAGATTCGCTGTTGGGATCAGTTCCATTGTTAGGGTCACCAGCACTGTTGGAATCAGCTCCATCTGTAGGGCCAGCATCGTCACTGGGATCAGACCCATTGTTGGTATCAGAATCATTTTCAGCATCGCTGTCTTTGGGATCAGTGTCATCAGGGTCAGACTTATCTTCAGGATCTTTCTTATCTTTGGTGTCTTCATCTTCAAAGTCTGTTTCATCATCAGCATCTGTCTCATTTTCAGAGTCTGTTTCATCTTCATGGTCTGTCTTATCTTTGAAAAGAGGCTTGTCTTTGGCATTGGCCTTATCTTTGAGGTTTCCAGCACTGACCGGTTTAGCCTCATTTTTAGGATTGGCCTCATTTTTGGGTTTGAAAGGCAGATTGAACTTGCTCTCACTTCCAAGGTTAGCAACATTGCTGGTGCTGATGACATTATATAGGCCAGGAATATTATGGCAGCCCATGGTATTTTGGGGGTTCATGGGAAAGGTACAGGTAATAGTAGAGCCTATGAGGGTTTGGAGGGCTGAGCAATTTTCACAATGTAAATAAGAAGTTGAATCCAAGGAATATTTAGAAACTTCCTGATGTAAAGGACAGCGGATGCCCACAGGATGCTTAGGACCCAAGGATTGAGATAATGGGCTGTTTTGAGAAATCTTGTGGTGTCTAACAGATTTGGGGCTCAAAGAATATTTAGAATCCAAAAGTATTTGGAAATGTAAAGGACAGTCAGGGTCTGAATCATCATCAGAATTCATGAGGCATTTATGAAAAGGAGAGTTATTGATTTCCATCAAATATTTGGAACATATTTGGGCTCCCATTTCCAAAGAATTTGGGCTATTTCTGTGAATCTTGGAGTGTACAACAGACACAGGGCTTGTGGAAGTTGGGTCATAGTCAGGTGCTGAAATATCAGAGGTGTAATCCTCAGCACTTAGGAGATGAATTGGATCCATTTGACACCTAGGACTCTGAAAACTTTGTGTGTATATGTAATCCTTACAATGGCTCTTATAGACAGAAATTTTGTGGTTAGCATTTCTGTTAGACTTGTTATACATTAATGTGTTTGGGTCTAGAGAGAGGTTGTGGCTGCACTTTTCCAATTTTTGCCATGATTCTTGCTTGTCACTGAGTGTTGGAGACAGTTCTTTGAATCTCATAATCTTGTCATCATTCAGGTACCTCATAAGTTGAATTGTCGAAACTGCTAGAGAAAGAAGAGTAAAATATGAGCAAGAATAACCAAAAAGATAATGAAGTCTGACTTTGACACTAACATTATCACGTAAATCTGTATAAAGGAAAAATATTATTTCCTCCAATAGATTATTGGAAGTGTCGTTTGATAGTTCAGGAGTAGGCCATGACCCTAAATTTTCTATTCAAGTATCATCTTGAGCTTTTTGAGACATACAAAATTAAACATGGCCATTTATCTCAGATGTTTATGCTCTTCAGATTCAGAGAGCTTTCTCTTTATAAGAGAATTCATTACATAGGAATTAATTGGAATAATGTGGCCAAAATAAGATAGTTGCTTTACATAGTTTTAATACTATAGATTTATATTACTTTTTCATTTTGCCTCTTGAAATACTAACAACTTATTCTTTCAAGGAATATAATCCCTATGATTTATAAATCTTCATGTTTGGAGACAAAAATTTCCTTGGGCATGAAATGTCAAAATTATGAAGTTTTTGAAATTAAATTTAGTAAAAGGAATCAATTTCCATAGCTATCAAGAACTCACTGGTACATGATTCTGGAATTTAGGTATTTAGCAATAGCTTAGCTTTGAAATTCAACTAAAAAGTTCAGTTAATATTACTGTGGGATAATGTTGTTTTCCAGGTAAATAGATAAAAATAAAATAAAAATCAACATGACAATTTTAAAAACAAAAGAACCATTCCTCCAAGGTCTTAATAACATTTTTCCAGGTTTGGCATCAAACACAAAAATCATATGTGGGAAGGTGTCTAAGAATGTTGGACGGTGGTTTCTACTTAGAAATTGATAGTGATTTTTTATAGAAAACAATATATGCTATCTCATCAAATTTCCATTAAGGGCAACAATAGTTCTTAAGAGAAAATTTTAATGGCACATTGCTAATAATTCAGGCATTTATAAGAGAGAAAACTTTAAATAGGTTTACTCTGAAATGTATTTAATAGGGTAGGCTATATATGTCTTTACCTACAATGAATTTTTTTAACCATATAGCCCTCATAGATTATTTCTACAAAAAGTAGCACATATTCTTATAAGTATGTGAAGTCATTATGTTGCCTCTGATAACAGCATGAAATGATGTTCACATAATGGAGAAGACGTGATCTTGTTAGTCTATATTTCTATTCTTTATAATAAATACTAGAAGCACAGCTATAACATTTCTATCCCAAGCCAAGTGCTGAAAAATACTGAAGGTAGTAATTATCCTTTCTCTTTAATGGCTTTGGTCCTCAATAACATGTATTATATACTTTACTCATATAGTGCTATTATTATAAAACAGTGACAAAGGCTTATAGCCTTTTAGAAACACAGAAGAGTTATACAATTTGGCTATTTGTTACTCTATTTCACATTCAAGATTACAGTGGGATGTACTAAAACAATTATAAGAAATCTAGCTGGAAAGCAAATTGGAAGTGTATGGATATTGAAGGTATACAGGGCTCTTAAACACAATGAAAGAAAATACTGTTTGAAAAAGTGCATATGAAGTATATGAGTTAATATTGGTTAATTGGTTAATACTTTATCTTGTGAGCAGGAGTGAGACACAACACTAGGAATGAGATAGCAGTACTCAGGTTGCCCTTTAGAGACAGAGTACCTAAATGATAGCCAAGAGAGTATCTCTCATTCAATAAACCTGAAAATCAACTCATATAATAAGTCAAAAATGTATTTAATATACATAACAGACTAAATATCATAGCTTAGCCTAGCCTAATTTAAACATACTTAGAACACTTACATTGGGCAAAGTCATCTAATACAAAGGCTATTTTATAATAAAGTGTTAAACAGCTCATGCAATTTATTGAATACTGTATCAAAAGTAAAAAACAGAATGGTTGTATAGGTACTCAAAGTACAGTTTCTACTGAATGCATATCACTGTTGTACCATTGTAAAGTAAACACCTTATAAGTTGAACCACTGTAAGTTGGAAATCATCTGTATATGACTTATTTGAGAGAGAAATTAAAAGAAGCATCATAAAGATGCTCGATGAGGTCAGGAAAACAATGCATGAACAAAGTTATAATTTCTTTTTAAATTTCTTTTTTATTTCAGCATAAAAAAGTATCAAACAGAAATTAAAGAGTTGAAGAATGCAATAACTGAAATTAAAACAAATTACTGAAGAGGTTCAGTAGCAGACTAGATGAAGCAAAAGAAAGGATTAGTGTCCTAGAGGATAGGTCATTGCAAATTATCCTGTCAAAGGAGCAAAAGGAAAAAGAATGAAGAATAATAAAGAAAGCTTAAGGATCTTATAGAGTGCCATCAAGTACATTAATATATACATTTTGGTAATTTCAGGAGGAGAACTAAGAGAGAAAGGGAAATAAAGCTTACTGGAAAAAATAATGGATAAAAAGGTCCCAAATCTAGAGAAGGCAATAGACATCTAGATTCAGGAAGACCCACAAACCTCAAATAAGATAAATTCAAAGAAATCCACACCAAGATGTTATAATCAAATTGGCAAATCAGAGACACAGAATTTTGAAAGCAGCAAGAGAAAAATGGTTGGCCTTGCAAAAGGAAACCACCATACAACTGTTAGCAAATTTCTTGGTAGAAACATTGAATGCCAGAAGGGGGTGGATTGATATATTAGAAGTGCCCAGAGAGGGAAAAAAAGAGACATAAACATTTTTCCTGACAAAGAAAAGCTTAGTGAGTTCATCCACACTAGAACTGCCTTACGGGAAATGCTAAAGGGAATTCTTCAAGTTGAAATTAAAGGATACTAATTTCAAAACCATGAAATTATAAAACTCAATGGTAAAGGTAATATATAAAAAATGTAGAATACTGTAAACATGGTGGTTAAATCACTTTTAGTTACAGCATAAACAAGAAAAGTCAAATTTTTCCAAGATGGGTGACTAGACACTCAACTAGACACTCACAGGACACTCAACTCCTCCACAAAGAAGAATGAAAATATTCAGTAGATAGATAATCACACTTCAAATATAACATCTAAGAGAGGATCCTGAAATTCAGCAAAGAAGTGATAGGAAACACGTGAGGAACTAAAAGAGAAAGAGATGATGCAGACAGCCTGACCAGGATAGGCTTGGAGCTTGGAGAGGCTCCCTGTGTGGCAAAAGGGTAAGTGGGAGATACCTCCCATTCCACATTCTCATTGCAGATACTTGTAATTGTAACCATGGGAGATTCCATCAACACTTGTGAGTCCTGAGACTGGCATAGGGAGCTCCTCAGAGTCCATACAATAGCAATGCTTCAGAGAGTAAGCTCATCCTGGGTCCCAAACACCCCCTGAGTCTTATGCAGCTGCAGCATGCAGCATCTTGAGAGCTCAGCCCCACCAGACTACATTATGCCTCAAGGCCCAATAGCCCCTGCATCGCCACATACCTAGTGCCTCACTGACATCCCTCTGAGTCCACTCAAAGAACTGCAGTGGTGAGATACAAGTCAGACCCAGTAGTGCAAGAGGGTCCCCATCATTGTAGCCCATACAGCATCCTACATGCTGGTGAAAGGGTGGTGCAGTCCACTGGAAATGCTGTGTCTAGGACAAAGGGAGCATAAGTGTGTGCTCTCCAGAGTTTACAACCTGCCTGCCTGAAGCAGCTACTATAGAAAGCAACCCTACAGCCCCAGTAGCAGGGCTGCCAAGAACCCAACCACACATGCCACCTGGGGGCTGGGGACTAGCCTATCTATTCCACCAAAGCAACTGCTAACACTAGCAAGTGCTGCCTAGAAACCCAAAGGTTTTCTTGCCACTGGTACTCCCATTGACCATACCATGCTTACTATTAAGGAGCACAAGGATTCACCCACATGCCCAGCCAACCACTAACACTACCAATACCTGAGCAAGCCACCTGGAGGCCTAAGAATTGGCCTGTTTGAACCTGCTAACACTGTTGCCCATGTACACTGCCTGAGGGCCCAAGGACTGGAATGCTTGATCAGCTGCTGCCACAAATGAGGCCCAAGGATTGGCCTACCTGGCATCTTACCCCCAGTAAAATTTCATCACAATCTCTACTAACAACTGCAGCCTAAGCCACTAAGAAAATCATACAATACCCTGACATTGTTTATAGCCAAAGAAATCACACAAAGACAACACTAATGCCTACATCCAGAATCAGAGCTAAAGTGCACTACTCAGCCAACACCATGGATACATCTACAGGAAAAAGTCTGCCCCTCCAAAAGCCAATATAAAAATTAGAATAAGTGAATCTTAGACCTGATGTGCAAATATCAATGAAAGGACAAAAAACATGAAAAATAAAGAAATATGACATTTCCAGAAAAACATAATTCTCCAAGAGATTGCAATGAAAAATAAATTTAGGAAATGCCAGAAAGAAGAATTCAAATGTGTGATGTTAAAGATTCAGTGAGGTACAAGATAAAACAGATAAACAATACAAAGAAATCAGACAAACAATTCAGTATATGAGTGAGAAATTCATCAAAGAGATATTATAAAAGAAAACCAAACAGAAATACTATAACTAAAGAATTTGGAGATACCTCAAACAGCTAAAAATAGAAATACCATTTGACCCAGCAATAGCATTGTTGGGCATCTACCCAAAAGAGCATAAGATATTCTATTATAAAGACATCTGTACCTGAATGTTTATGGCAGCACAATTCACTATTGCAAGATCATGGAAACAACCCAAGTTCCCATCAATTCATGAGTGGATAATTAAAATTTGGTATATGTCACAATGAAATATTACTCAATTCTAAGAAATGAACAGTGAGCTAGCACCGTTTATCCTATCCTGGATTAAGCTTAAGCCTGTTATCCAAAGCAAGGTGACACAAGATCAAGAAAATGGGCTCCACATCTACTCACCATCAAATTGGTACTGACTGATTAAAACTATGGTGCTCAAATGGTATTAATGTTCACCAGGGATTTGTGGGGGAGACCCACATCTTAGGGTTGTGGTG